TTTGTTTCGCCAATTCGTTTCGCGTTTTATTTTAGGATACCCCTTTCGCGGGAATCGGTTTTAACTTTCGTTTGTGTCGGCGCGTCCCGGTGATGCGCCGATTGGATTACAGTTTCGGCTCCAATTTGGCGCCTTGTTTCATAGAGGGACCGCGAGAAAATTCCGCACACTCAGTATACAGTACTGTCGACTGTGTAACAAATTTTTCATTTGATAAGAGTATATAATAAGTGCTCTTCTTAATTTTTCTGTTTATGCTTATGTAATTGTTTATTAAGTTTGAGGAAGAATGATCTGTCGTTTACATATTGAATTTGTTATGATTTTTTCAAACCCAGTTGGAAATGATGATAAGACCTGTTTTGTGAACATTATTATGAACATTAATCATATTTTTCTAATACTAGCCCTAATAGATGTCCTAATTTATTTAAGTTGAATGAAAATACTTTCAATGTATTTAGGTGTACAGTATACTTGAACATTCCAGCAGTAAAGAATTTTTCAAGATGCAATAATGTCTAGCAAATTGTACTATGAGTAAATTTAGAATATTTATTTTAAAAAATAAAGTATTGTACGCGTGCTTCAATTTTAGAATACATATGGAAAATCAGTCTGCTGCATGAAAAAGGAATTACGCAAAATATTGGACTGTATTTTAAAAGTGGGAATAACGCGCTCAAGCAGCACCCAATAAATTCTCCTCAACATTTTTACCATTTTTCAAGTCTTATCCCGAAATATTGTTCTCCGAAAACTTGAAAGGAAGTGAGAGATGATGTTTGTCGCCCCACGTCATCAATCTAATTAGCTTCACGCAACAAAAAAAAAGAAAAGAAAGATTCTGTTAGGCAGAGAGCAGACGGGGAAAACATTTGCGACTTTCCATGGCATCCAACTCGGGTTCAGTGTCATTAGTTCAGGACATCGTAACGTGCTTGACCTACAAAGAATAACTCCAGATATTTCCAGAAAGCATGTTAGGAAAAAAATATAAATCCTGGGAAAGACATTTTCAGAAATGTTATGGACCAAATGAATCCCGGGCTGACTTTTTTCCTCTCTTTTTCTATTTTGTATCTCCCCGAGCACGCATATCCCTGTTCCCACCGGGGGAAAAAGATGACTGGTGAAAGTGGAAAATTTTGCGCTGCCATTTTTTCAATTAGTTCACTATACTGCTTCTGCTTTAGAACAGAATCAGTGATGAAAACTTCATCTTTAGAGCTGCTGGTTGAATTTAACTTGTTGATTTTATTCTAATAAGAGCTGGTCCAAATATTTTCCGGTATTTCACTTACAGACTTGTTGAGTCTTTAAATTACAAAAGAAATCTACGAAGCACACACAAAACTGACTTACATTTTGTTTAATGTACAGGTATGAAATACTTTTTTTTTCAATCATCGGAGACACAATCTTCACAAATCTTTTTTCAAATACGCTTCACAATTAACTTCCTGTTAAGAATGCACTTCATTTTGAATTTCTGGTCTTCTTGAGTGAACATGTTTTATAAGAGCTATTTAGGCAGTCGTATCTAGCATGTTTTAATCTTGCAGAAATCGGATGCAAACACTATTTTCGAATATTTTCCTCCAATAATTTTCTCAGTACTGTCCTTTGTATTTCCTAAAATAAATTGAAATAAAATAAATAAATAAGAAAAATAAATAAATTTATAGTAAATAAATAAAAAATTAAAAATAAATTGAAAATTAAAAATAAATAAAAAATTAAAAATAAATAAAAAATTAAAAATAAATTAAAAATAAATAAAAAATTAAAAATAAATAAAAAATTAAAAATAAATAAAAAATTAAAAATAAATAAAAAATTAAAAATAAATAAAAAATTAAAAATAAATAAAAAATTAAAAATAAATAAAAAATTTAAAAATAAAAAATTTAAAAATAAATAAATTAATTAAATAAATTAAAAAAATTTTTAATTGAACCAAAAATCCCTCAGCTAACCACATGCAAATCACGTCACGGTGCCTTTCGTTCGAGAGAAAATGAGAAAAGATTGTTAATATTTCTGGAGAAACGCAATGATTAAATTATTTGCAGCTAGAGATCCATTACAGGAATGGCCATTTAAAATAAAATTGGCAAGCCTGCGTGTTCCTGTGCGTTATAATTTTGTTCAGCGAAAAAAATACATTATTCCCAATTTATACTTGATGTTCATAGTGTCGGTTAGGACAGCAATGATTGTTGCTTTTATTTTTCGAAAAAAAAAAACGGAAAGTAGGACAAAGAGTACCATTAAATAGGTTGAGGAAATGGCCTCATAATGTTGACATTTTCTCCTCGTGTCCCTGAACACATACGTCGTTCGGTGGGTTTTTGCCACGTGCTGGTCCTTTCCTGGGAAATTGAGGAGTTCAAAAGATTCTCAATTGTGGCTCAAGTTATTTTCACTCCATTCCCTGACGATTTTTTTTCTCTCTGCGAATTTATAGCAGGTCTCACCTGAATTATTGCTAACCTGGCTTGAGAGCGAAACTTGCATATTTCACAGCAATTTGTGTGTTTGAGAGTGTGAACAGAATGAAGATGTATTCCTTAAACTGTACAGGAAACTTGATGAATTCGTGTTGGAAAAAGCAGTTCGTCGTTGGAAATTTATCTGGGCATGAGTTTCTCTTTTGATGGAACAATGCCTTATTCCCGAAAAATATTTTCGATTTGTCATTTAATTCTTTTTCAAATTTTCAAATCTGATCTTCGTTAATCTGAATGTTATTGTCAGCTCTCTTGATCCATCATATTAAATATTTATTATGAAATCATCTGATGATGCTGATTTGGTACATTTTTCATTGTCCTTCTTTAAAGCCCCGCTTCTGCACTTCTAATACCACTGTCAACCCATTCATAATTTATGTGGTTCGCTGAAAAACTTCTGGGGAATTTTTTTGAGTCACTCAAACTGTTGCTCTGAGAATTTTGGAAAATTGAAAGTCCCCCAAGGATTGAAAGGTGGTTGGAACAAAAAGTGGAATTTTTAGGAAAGACATGAATTTATCCAGTGCTTAAACTTCATCTGAGATGCCTTTTTTTTTATTGCTGACGAATGAAACTCTAAATGGTTACCTACAGAGAAATCGGAGTTCCCCTTCCTTCATTTACTTCATTAATTTCAATAAATTGACGTGTAATTGATACAATCTAGTGAAGAACCTTCGTGTGTTGCGTACAGTGCACGTGATACAAGAAGAGAAAATAAATCAAGTGTGAGATCCTTGCTGGAAGCTGGGCTCGTGCCAAAAAATGCGCCTTTTTTGTTTTGCTTCAGTGATGATGTTGATTTTTTACTGCGAAGGGCTGGAAGGCTAAAGAAAAAGAAAATGGCGTTTCAAGGGGAGATGAAAGATATTTCAAGCGACAGAACCACGAGGAAGTCGGGTTATTTTTGTATTTCATTTTCGATTTCTCCGCGAGTCGATGAACTTCTTGTTTTTTTCTAAGTGTTTTTTTCTAAGTTTTTGGAGAGGGGGGCAGTTCAATGGGCGGAACGAAGAATTACTGAATTTTGCGAGTCTTATGGCTGTTGTACTCGTCTGTACGACTGTTTTTACATTGACAAATGGATCTAAATGATCTCGTTCGTTCATCCTTGACCTGAGAAGACGGCGATTTGAGAATGCTTTTGTTTCTTCGCAAATTTTGTTTTCTCTGCCCGTCCTTCTTAACCTGCAACCCTTGGCTGATTTCCAAAAATTCCTGCAATATTCGGAAATAAACTGCTGCTGTTGTTCACGATGAGAAAACACGTCTAAAAAGCCATTTAAAAAATTTGAATATATTTTAAAAATACGGGGGAAAGGTTCGATATACTCAGCAAAATGAATCATGACTTTCAATTTCATGCTGCCCATTGTTGTACGAATACTTTACTTCAGTTTTTCGTTTACTGCTTATTATTTCTGCAAATTCTTATATATACTCTTTTTTTTGCAAATAGACGTGGATACGACAAAGATCAACATAATGGACCAACACTAAATGTTTTACTATTTTTGCGGTACTAAAAAAAGCCAGATTGATTACAGTACGTCTAATATCCATATTCAGAAAACTTGAATATTCAATTTTGACATTTTCAATTTTAAAACTTATATGCTCGTATTATACCTTTTTAAATTCCCATTACAGTGAGACCCCGAGATGCGGACGTAATCGGTGTATCAAGAGTGTCCCTAAGTCGAAATGTCCCTAAGTCAATTCTTGTTTTCCCATAGACTTGCATTATATAATTTTTAATTGGTGTTTTCTTAAAGAAATATTGATCAAAATTCCTTTTTAAAATTGAGAAAAAAATTCTACTGATGAAAAATTATTAAATCAGTGTTTTTCAAATCATGTATAAAATTTGGAGCATTGGGGACATAAAACATTCACAAAATGCAAAATTTCTGTGCTACTGCTGAATGTTAAGAAGGGAGATATAATATATATATAAGGGAGATATAACTTTTGTGAAATCAAGTACTAAAATTTGATTGTAAATAAAAAGTTTAAAAATTATGTTCTACCATATATGGGAATGTAGGTCTTTCAAAAAGATTTTTTGGCGCAAAGCAAGTTTTTTTTAATCCAAAATATCACCCATCTTTTTCCGGCATTTGTATTTGAATGAACCTCACAGAAAAAGGATTAAGTTAAGTTTTCTTCAAGTCCCTGTTTGAAAAATGATTTTACAGAAACCCCTCTTTGTTTCAGTATACAGTACTCTATGTTGATCTGAATTTTTTATTAACGCGTAAATTAGCCTGGTCCAACCAGAACTAAGAAATCTCAACTAAAAAAAATGTAAATTGAAAAATAAATCTGACATTTTACCAAAGATGGTACAGAAAGATGCGCGCGACATCTAAGTGAAAATGTATAAGAAAATGTTAGACTCCGAGGACAATATTTTAAAAATTGAAATCAATTTTTTTTGTCTCAACTTGTTGTTTCTAATTTAATTCACGTTGATTTATTTGACGGAAGACTTGGCCAAGTTATTTTGAAAAACGAGTTTCTTGAAGAAATAACAAAATATATCTTA